CCCACCCCGTTCGGGGCAAAGCCCCGCAAGTATCGAGTTTGTCGAGTTTTTTGACATCCCTATGTCAGATAACTCCACCTGTAATTGGCACAAGTCTATATAGCAACAAAGTGAAATTTAATACTTCATCTGTCTCATTTATATAGATTGATTTTCCTTATTTTCTTGTCTCAACTATATAGTTTTGTTTTGTTCGTTTACTAACATACTATTTTTTTTAATTTTCCCTAATTATAACAAATTTATTACTAATTATTGATAATTAAACAAGGACAAACTAGGAAAATTTTTCACCAAAATTGATTTTTCAATAACATTAAATAAGATTTCTTAATCGGTATGAAAAACAAAATTGATCTTTATAAATGAGGTGGAGGGAGTAATAGATTTAATGAAATTACCAAATGAATTTATCAATAAAAATAACTTAGAAAGGCATAAATACATCATGACGCCAAAAAAAAAGAGTAATTATTTTGAGCACGAGTAGTATTTAACATTAGTTTAGATGATAATAATTATATCATTAAATAATATTTTTAATCAAATATAAAAAATTATAATCCATAATATGAATGACGATAGATAGCATTATTTAAAAAAAAAAAAACAATATGCGTAGGGTGGGTAACTATAATTTCGGATCACCTTAAATGGGTAAAATCCAACCGGGTAATAAATGCGATGCTATTCCTAAAACTGTACGAATCGGGACGACAGGGCGGGCACATACATACACATCCATTTGTGGGTTCCATTCTTGATTCTCTTCATCACCTCGTTAGCTTTTTGGGACTCGTTCCTTTCATTTAGACGATTTACGCAGATATAAGTATGATGCATTAAAGTTCTGTGCAAGTTGACTTTTTCTCCACAACCCGTTTAAATTCAGTTTTTGTATTGAAAGAAATTCAAAGATGGGGTCGTGGAATTCGATTCATCTGAAGGTATTATACAATGTTTTGGGATGGACTGCATTTGTCTCATGGTCCATCAGTTTCTACCCGCAAGCGATTCTGAATTTCCGAAGGAAAAGGTTTTTCTATTTCTTAATTCACCCACTTTAATTTATTCTCAAATTTCAAATTTCGTGTTTTAATTGCTTCTTTGCGTAGTGTGGTGGGGTTGAACTTTGATTTTGTGCTCCTGAATTTGACGAAGCACTCGTCGTATCTCATCTACAACGCTTCCCTCTACTTTAGCTCCACCGTGCAGAGGCAGTACCGCCAAAAATTTGGCCTCAATGAGGTACTTCGAAATATATCCTATTAATGAATTCATAATTGATTTTTCCTTAGCTTCAATGATGAATTCTTTGGGCGTTTATTTAATTTTTGGGATCAACTGATCAAGGGTTTCAATTTTTTGGTTATTTGTTGCATGTATTTATTTTCTTGTGGTTGTTTTATTGCAGATGATACCTGTGGCTGCCAATGATGTAGCTTTCTCCATTCATGCTGTTCTCTTGACTGCTTTCACCTTGTTCCAAGTTGTAATTTATGATGTGGGTAACTGAAATTTTCTCACTGTTTCACGTTTTTGTTGCTTTTAATTAAAAAAGTCACTTTGATAAAAATGATTACTTATCTCGAAAGAACTTATTTACTTAGAACTATACTTTTTAATCTTTGCCAACCATACTATGGTTATTGCGTAAAGCTCTAATACCAAACCAAAGAAGCATAACCTGTACAGTTAAATTGCTACATTTTAAATTTTAACTTCCGAACAGTATGGGTTAATTAATTTGCATCTGAATGACATCTTAATTTTATTTTATTTTTAATTTGCATTTTGAAACCTTTGTGAATCATTTTTGCAGCGTGGAAATCAGAAGGTTTCAAAAATTTGTATTGCAATTGTTTCCGTGGCCTGGTTATCAGCTGCCATTTGTGTTTTCATAGCTCTGCCCAGGCACTCTTGGTTATGGCTGGTAAACTGCTTCAGGTAAGATATCGTCCCTTCAATCACTGTGACAAATCTACAGCAATTTGTGAATCTGTGGACTTCTCATTAAGATTTATGTAAAGAGTACTGAGATGAGCATTACCTGCCCTATTAACCTTAGTATTCTTGGTTAATGAAAGAAACTACCTAGGGTAACAAGAAATAATGGTCCAACTTATTCTATTTATATGTGCCTATGAAGTTAATTACTGAAACAGACAAGTAGTTTACTTGTTTTGAACTATGCTTCTTCATCCTCAATTTCCTCTTAACTTCTTGCATCCCATCTTTAATTGCAGCACAATTCAAGTTGTTATGACAATCATCAAATATATTCCTCAGGTAGATTTGGAACTTGTGTCCTTTGAGATCGTTCTGCTTATCATCTGCTGAACTCTTAGTATTCTTAACAATCCCAAGTTTACTATGATCTTGAAAGTTTTTGTTTACAAATTGGCTTCATGATCTAACCCAGAGTTCTGTTACTAAATATAGGCTATTTTGAACTTTCGACGAAAAAGTACAGTTGGATTTAGCATCGGAAATATTTTGCTTGATTTCCTTGGAGGAGTAACAAATTATTGTCAAATGGCAGTGCAATCCATAGATCAAAGTGAGTTGGTGACTAATATTTGAATATCTTTTGTAGAATACGCTTTCAGATAAATTTAATCATTTAAATCTGTTTTTGCAGATTCCTGGGTGAACTTCTACGGAAACATAGGCAAGACCATGATATCTTTGGTATGAGACAGTTTCACTTCTTTATGTCCTTGTGAAATTCATGATTTGTCACCAAGTGATAGAGAGACTTAATACAACCTTTCTGGCTTAAGATAAGAATACATTCATCACTTCAAAAAATATCATTTTTAACTTTTTGTCTACCGCATAACATGAAAGACTGAACATGTTATGCATATTATTTTACAAACCTAGCCTATTGGATTTACCTTTATTTTTGCTTGCTGGTACTGCTTGACCGTCCAGTAGTTGGGTTCCACAAGCTACTGTGAACTTGGTGGATAATTTTGTTTTCTTAAATCCCAAAGCTGATGTGGTTCACGATTAAAATTTAATCTATCTCTGGAATCTCGATACCTTGTAACATCCTTTGAACAAGAAAACTATAATCTTTGTTTTATACGAAAAAAGAAAAAAAGAAAAAGAGGAAAGCTGATGAAGTTTCCCAAGGTTAAAAAGTTTTCCATGTTAACTTTCTTCTACAGTATTAACTGGGACCAATACTCCATATGGCTCACCGCTGAAAAGGATGTGTTTTTGGCATTTTATCTATGGTGAATCATCCATAGACCATAGGTTATCTTGTGTATTTATTTGATTGCTACTTGAGTATTATTTGTTTTTTCTTATCATTTACTCAAGTGCCAAAACAACTGTGTTGGATTTATTGCATGTGCATCCACTCCCCTTAAAGCCCTCCCGTCCCTCTGTTCATTATTGGGCGAGTAGAGCTACAGTTGAAGATTTTTTGCTGACTTCCCCGTGCCCTTAAACCCTTGTGTTCTCATTTCCACCCACATGATTAATGTTTAACTGTCTCAGTGGAATGAATTTTTCAGGTGTCTATCTTCTTCGACATTCTCTTTATGGTCCAGCATTACATACTTTATCCTTCCAAGAAGGCTACTTCTCCAAAACCCAATGTGGTAAGCAAGGAGTCACTAATTAAACCCTCTGATGAACCGAATTCAGATTGTGTATAATGATGAATGACATGGCTCTTGGAATTAATCTTGCACATTACTTTGTGCAAATTAGCAACTCTGTACTTTATGCTTCACAATGCATGTATTATCACTCTGTATAGGAAGGCTGAAGCATAATGCCTTATTTACTGTATGTTCATGTTAAGAAGATTGAGTGTAATGCTGTATTCCTACTGTTGAAATTTCTGTCCCTGATCTATCATGAAGCTTAACAGGGGATATTGATAGTCGAATATTTTTAGCGCACACTTCGTCTATGACTATATGTCCAGTTGACTTGATACATTGCAATCTGAGTTTCATTTGGAGCCTGTGATCAATTTGTGCCGATGCAGCATGAACTAGATCCAAGGAGATGAACTCAGCTGTTCCTCATAATTTACCTCCCCTAATCTGCTCCGAATTTTGCTGTAGGTATCTGTCGAGCAAACCGAAGGACATTGAGGAAATGTGATGAAATTTTATTCAACATAACATTGGGATGAAAAAAGGGGCTTCAACATTCGTAATGTTTCATACACGTCTTTGTTCCTTTAGTGTGATCCAAGGGAAAAAAAAAGTTGGGAAAGACAAGGAAATAGTTTTCTTCGTTTTATGGGACGTGGGAAATTAAATTCGTTTTATTGGGCTTCAACATTTGTAATAGTTTTCAACCAATACATGTTTCCAACAAAACAATTTTGCACGTGAACATATATGTTGTTACTTTTTAACTATACGTTCTTTATTGAAGCATTGTTCCAACTTCCGTTCACCGGACATAAACATAAGCAGACAATTAAATTGACTCATAAAATTTGGCCACAAAGTGGAAGGTAGGAGTGACTGATTAGACGGAACCGAAAAAAGACAAACAATAATGTTGGTACACGTTTTATTCTTTAACAAAGTCCAAAATTACATGTTAGATTATTAATCTTGTTGGCCGACTTCTATTTTATTGTTGCTTGGCCAACACGACAATAATTGACGAACAGCTGACCAATTAACCTCCTTGCTTCCCAAGTTTTCAAGATCTCTCTCTCTCTCTCTATTTAAATTTACATTCATAACAACATTTCACTACCATTCTCATTAAGCTCACAAGAACCCAACCAAAAATGAAGAGAGAGGGTCGACAACATGGCATGGTCCGAACCAACCCTATTCTCCCACAACCTTTCAACCCAAGGCCCGTGGCTAGGCATGTTATCAAGCTTGGCTCACCACCAATTGCCGGCATGTTCACCAAGGTTTCATCAAAGCCCACGAACCACTCCAAGTTTACGGGAAAGTGCAGTCGACCCCGGTGCAACGGGTGCCATATTCACCCAGCTTGTAAGGCGAAGGACAAGACCAAGGGTGCCAAAAAGCTCAGATTGATCACTAGGAGGGTCGCGGATACAAAACCTGGATTCAAGTTTTCGGGTTCTTCCACAAGTGACATTTTGGATCAGTTGACTTATATGGATGATGGTGATTGTGTTGATGATGTTCTTGATGGATTATGCGATGCCCAGATATCGTCGAATGATGTTGAAATTGAAGAGATAGATGGATATGATAACGACGATCAAATGAGTTTCTGTGAAGTGGGGTTTGTGTGGGAACCCTTGGATGGAGATGAGAGTTGGTGCCTGGTAGAAGAAATGTGATTCATCATTTGATAAAGTCCGATGAATTGTATATTTTCTGTCCACAAATCCAGTTTATTTGATTATGTAATCAAGTTGTTAATTCATGTGGTGCAAAATGATTAATTAATGAACGAATATATTAATTCAGATACATCTCTCTTCATTCAGATCCATGTAGATGAGGAGAAACTTACTTGATCGGGTTATGAATCAACTCAACAATCAGTTTAACTTAATTTGATTACGTAGTCGATTCTTCACAATGTTCGTAGCAGAACTATTGTAACAGTAAGAATTAATCCTAAAGTTACAAACATGTAAAACTAACAGGTACATTTTATTTCTTTTGGTCATACCAACTTTGATGCAAGTTCCACAAGTCTCTGCTATGAATTCAATCTCCCCCCACCCCCCAAAAAAAAACTCCAGCTGCACAGGTACTTTTAAAATGACCCTGGTAAAAGATAAAAACGCCCTTAAGTATATAAAACAATTACAAAATATTGTTTTAAAAACTAAATACTCCATACGTAAAATTTCAAAATCAACTTACTTTTGTTATCAGTTTATTTCAACACAAATAAAAACTCTCTCATATTTCATCTGTTTCAACCTTAAAATCTGAAAAATTTATCATCTGCTTAGGTCAATTGCACTCACTGGATCTGTCCGTCTAGAATATTTCATATTTATACTATCATGTGCTTGTATTTCTCACTCTCTTGTACGAAGCAAATTAACCAAAGGAGATGGTGTACGTAATCAACGGGAACCCTAAATACAAAGACCATTTCTATAAATGATGAATATCCTCTTTTCTCACTTCAATTGTTCATCAATATAGATTTTTACGTGCAAAAAATATATTTTCTTTTCAAGAAATTTAAATAAACAAATATTTTTTCTTTCTAACAGAGCTAGTTGTTTAATGCTTGGGCAACACTCAATTAGCTCGCAAGAACCTCTTCATAATATTAGTTGGGCATCCATTTTTTTTCTCGTTCTCTTTCTTCATTTCAACCACACAATCTCCAAATAAAAATATTACACATAAATCTAAAACTTTTTATCACTTTTCCACCACACATTCTTCAATCAATCACTATTCCAAAAATTTTCAACCCATTGGAATGGGTGTCAAACACACTAATTGAACCTAGTTGACCATCATTTTTTGGGATAAATAGTTTTTGCAATAGTATTTTTTCAAAGAATGTGTAGTTAAAATGTAGGAAAAAGTTTTGAAATTAAGTTTAAAATTATTTTATACGAGAATGTGATTACCATTAAGGGTCCAGTGGGTGCAATTGACCCAACTGGACTTCTAGATTTTTTTGGTTTTTTACAAGTCCATACTTTTCCGCCCAAATACCCCCAACAAAGTTGACATTACACACTAGCCCAAATTCTCCCTTCAATTTTTTTTGAGTTCACAAAATATTTTATTCTGAGAATATGTGGTTGAAAATGAGTTTAAGAAAAAAAAGATTTTTGTTTTTATGATTGTCAAACAGGGGAACTGCTCCTCCAAGATGTAAAATAGTCAAATGAGCAGCCATATTATTGGGCTACATAATCGTTATGCAGTTCAAGTAAATTCTTCTGAGGTTATGCTATATGTACATAATTTTTTACCTAATCTTTTACACCCCATTCACATTTGGAAGTGGGGACCACGAGCCACATTTTTTTAAAAACATGGGGCCCGCCGCATTTGTGATGGTGGGGGGGACCATTCGGTCACCCCACCTTCGGTACATCCGAATAAACCCATTCTTCTGAGTGGGTGCAATGTTTGAATGAGTAATATCTACCTCGTCCATATGAGCTTCAACAGAACAATTTCCATCTGTAAGTAATACATAAGAAAGAAAGGGCAAAAGCGAGATGAAGAAGATGATTTCTTGCGAACGTCAAGAGATTCTAGAAGTGCAGTGTAACTACTATAATCTTCAGGGAGCAGTACAAGAATACCCCTTTTTTGTGTATATTATAAAAATGGTTGAACCCCAACATTGAAGGCCCCCCACCGCCCCGTTCTTAGAGTATTGTGGAGAAGGTAAGGTTAAAAAAATATCAGAGTTTTTTTCTTTTTTCACTTCAGTGATATTTTGACTTTTCAAAAAAGCGCCAAGTCAGCACAATGTAACCAATTCGGTGACCAATGATTGTTCGTGTAGCACTGTCCAAAAAAAAAATAATAATAATGGAAATTAAGCCCCTTACGCCCAATATATATAAACCAGAAAAGTTTGCAAAATATGTCCTTGTCTTAGAAAAAATGAAAGATACACTTCTTTATAAATAAAACTAAAATGAAAGATACACTTCTTTATGAATAAAACTTCAAGTGCAAACATGTAAAATTCATTTTGCACTGGATAGTCATTGAACTTACACCTCCGTTATATTATACTTATTGAACTTTAAAATACTTTCAAGTGATAGAGATGAGAGTTGGTGCCTGGTAGAAGAAATGTGATTCATCATTTGATAAAGTCTGATGAATTGTATATTCTTTGTCCACAAATCCTGTTTATTTGATTGTGTAATCAAGTTGTTAATTCATGTGGTGCAAAATGATTAATAAATTAATGAATATATTAATTCAGATACATCTCTCTTCATTATTCGATGTGGTCAATTATTGGTATTCATTCCATCCATGTAGATTACTTCATTATCACCGGTAACAATCAACAATGGTTTACCTTAAAGATCCTTGGCCCTTTACACTATTTTCCGGGCATTGAAGCTCAATGAAATGCCAATGGTCTCTATCTATCTCATTTCGAATACATTGATGACTTGCTTTCTCGTTCCAAAATGGAAAATGCTGGAGTTATCGTACTTCAATGAGCACCAGTAAGTACTTTTGCTTGCATGATGATGATCCAAAGCCTAACCCAACTTTGGATCGTAGTACAATTAGGGCTTTTCAATATTTGACATTGACTAGATCACATTTCGATAATTTTTAATTGCCAATATTTTTAATGAAAAATACGTTTTTTTTCCATCTAATTTTCTACTTTTGTATTATTTGATTGACAATTTTTTCCATGGAAAATATTTTCCTAGTTTTGGTCATGTGACCATATTTCCCTTGCAAACAAGGAAAATGTTTTCTTTAGAAAGAAGTTGTTTTTATTTTCTAGGTAATTCAATATCTTTCTCTCATCTATCCACCAATAAAAAATAGACAAGTGTAATATTTTCTAGGTAAAAAATTAAATTAATCAAACACATCTAATTAATAATTTTCATATAAATAATTTCTGGGCAATTGAATAGCTTAAAATCTATTTATTTTTTCTATACAAATTCCATGCTCGCAATAAAACGTTTATAGTCTTTACTTTGAGAACTTGATATTGTTTAACCTCCTCCTATTGTGTGGTGTGAGAATCAAGGACTTGTTTCTTTAGCTGAATATTCGGCGTTTCGTGCTTGAATGAGTAAATTAACCAAAGAACAGGAACCCTAATTAATACAAAGACACTCCATTTTTATAAATGATGAATATCCTCTTTTATCTCTTCTGCCCTGTGGCCGTTAATAATCACTTCAATTGTTTATCAATATAGATTTTTACGTGCAAAATATATTTTTTCTTTTCAAGAAATTTAAATAAACAAATATATTTTCTTTTCGGGCAACGCTCAATGAATTGATTAACCACTTTGCGGCCAAAATTTTCAAGAATCTGTCTAGAGATTTAAACCTACACATTCCATAGCCACTTGAGTTAAGCTCGCAGGAACCCAACCAAACATGGAGAGAGGGACGCCAGCACGGCATGGTCCGGACCAACCCAATCCTACCATCACCTTTGAATCCTCGGCCAGACCTGAGGCGCGTTAACAAGCTGGGCTCACCGTCAATCGCCGGCAAGTTACCTTCCAAGCCCACAAACACTCCAAAGTTCGCCGACAAGTGCAGTCGACCGAGGTGCTTGGGCTGCCATTTTTCCAAGGTCAAGGGAGCCCAAAAGCTCAGATCATCATTGATCACTATGCAAATCGTGGATGAAGCCGGCTTAAGAATTTCCGACTGTTCTGCCAGGGACGTTCTGTGTTGGAATTTACAATCTTACCTTGAAGCTTTGGAATTAAAATCAAGGGAAGCCAAGTGCAAGTCTCATTCTGCGCAAGTAACCAGCTGATTAACCCTCAATTAGCTCCTATAAATAATTGTAAGCATTTGATTAGCTAAGTAAGTTAAATGATAGCTGTCATTTAGTTTCTTTTCTGTTTTGCTTTGCACGTGTATATATATACACACTCATCCTGTACAAATCAATTGAGTAAGAAATAATATTCTTTCCCCAATTCTAGCTCTGTTCTCCTCTCTTCAATTGAGCTATTTTACATGGTATCATCGTGATTTTTTCAGCTTCCGTTGCTGCTTCGGGCGGAAGCTGGTTATTTTGAAGAGGTGAATGAAGAAATTGAAAAGATGGGTGAATGTGATAATAACGATGATCAAATGAGTTTCTGCGAAGTGGGATTTGTCACCAAACCGTTGGATGACAGTTGGTGCCTGGTGGAAGAAATTTGTTTCATGTGGAGCAAATTAATAAATAAATGAACATATTATAATCTTTCTTGAATGAGTTTGTGTTCGTATGAAATGATTAGATCTGATGTCTTGCTCGTAGTGGGCAAGATAAAAACTCCACACTACTCACATGACAAGAGAATCTTCCTTATGGTTCTCTAAAATAGTCGTACAATTAGAGAACCATATCTGCCACGTAAGTTTCTATCAATTCTAATGAAATGATTCCCTTTATCATAAGAATTAAACAATCTTCCATTAGACGTTTAGATAAATGATGGCAGAACACTCATGGCTCGTATAGTAGGTTGGATTACACAAGATCACATAGGGAGGAAGAAAAATTCAACTAAAATCTTGTCTATTTTAGTGTCTAATCATGTTCGATTCTATGTATCTAACTACCCTTAATGAATAAAATACTATTTCACTGTCATTATCATTTTGACAAATTTTACAAAGAAACATGTAGCAACAATCCTTGCTTACACCAAATGAAACTCTACAACTATCGAATTACACGTGATTCCAAATGTGACGAGCTCCTCCACGAACGACAATGCATAATTGTGCAGGATTCCCCAGGAATATACAAAGAAAACATGCACACGTTTTCATCTTTGCTGAATATTTGGGCTTCTGTTCTCATGATTGATCCTTTCTTGTTTTGATGTAAGAAAATGGCCGGGGATTTCAATTTTCTTTTTCGATGATACATTCTTGGAAGTACCATTCTTCTTAGTCAAAAATGTTGAAGGGGAAGGAGGAGGTGGCATTGAGACAGTGCCTTGCTTCTTGCTTGAATATGTTTTTCCCACTGGCTCTGGCTGGGATAGTGAACTCTGCAATAATAATAGTAAAATCAAGTCATTGAGTCTAGACATCTCCAAAGTTTGAGGTGGTAATGTATGAGAAAAGAAGAAACCTTTTCCATCTGATTTTTTGGTATTTCTCGTTCCTTGTAAAAATCAGGTAGCGGACGAGCTTTGAAGCAAAAGCTTTGACGCAATTTTCTAAATTCATTTCCTGCTTTCTCCTGCGTATACAAAAGACCCTTCAATCACAGTTAAACTTCAGTATGACGTATTAGATTAGAACACAGAGTACAAAAGAAAAAAGGCTGGCATCAAGAGTATAACCCTTAGTTTTGTTTGTAGTTGCACCTTTGGTGCCTCCTTAGCATTGAATTTCTCCTCAAGTTTCTGAAATGTTGGGAGGAAGAAAATGAGCATACTGTTAAGTCATAAAATATGTTTGAGAACGAGTTCTAGAATAGGAAACAAGATCCTTGCCTGTTTTCTTCTGGCAGCTCTTTCTTCCGTTCTCAGAATAAATGGAGTCGATAAAGTTGGTGATTGTAATTTCTTCCGGTAGGCCGTAAATGACTTGGGGCAACTAATATACAAACATATTGGTATCAAAACGAAGTGTAAGGATTTAACCCCTAAATACAATTTCGAGAGCAATAAAAAAGCAGGAAAAAAAAAATACTGATTTACGTGCATTGTTTCGAGAGAGAAAAGATATAGAAATGCTTCCGTGATATCATACCGATATAGAATATGTATTAAGGTCTCCCACAAATTTGTTTTGTTTATTGGTTCTGATTTTCTTCAGCAAGTATCTCAATACCTTCTTATTTGAAACTGTAGTTCTAAAAATGAACAAATAAGTATAGATTTTCATATCATTTGAACTTACACTGCCGATAAAATGTGCCATTTGGGGCCGCTTGTTCTGCTTCCTAAAGCCGAGGGATCGATTGGTGCTTTGTTCCTGCGAGTTATAGACAATGTGAAATTAGTTTTCAAATTTTCACTTGTCATCAAATAGCTGTATTGTGTTAATTAACTTCTTGTACCTTCTATCTTCAGATCGAGGCGTTGCTGCATTATATTTAGACAAACCATATTTACCCGCCTACAGATGATAACAAGAATCAATCTTAGCATGCTTAAAACAATTTTCTACTCAAAACAGGCTGAAGAAAAAACATTCTGTGTAACCGAGCTACATAAATTGAGAGGTACCCCAATCGGAGTCTTCAGTGGAGTCACACAATCCTTTTGCGTCTTGGATGGAACTGGAGGAACACCTAAACTTCCGGTTCTTTCGTTCGAAAGAATCGGGACTTTATCTGGTTCTTTAGCAGGAACTATATTAATCAATGCACGTAGAGATTTCTGAGAGGACTTGTTTTTATCCATGGAGTCCACATTAAACTTCCTTGTGACATTTTGTTCTTTCTTGAAATGAGGAGTAATTGGCTTGGCAGGTGTATATGGAACTTTAGACGTTTTACGGTGAATAGATGACTTGAACGAAGAAAGTGCTGATCTTTTCTTGCTTGTCACCGATGAATTATCCTCACGTTGGTCGGATTTCTGATGCATTTACATGGTTAGTACACAATATTATACTAGATGGGATCAGATCGAACTGTGTATTAAACGTGTCATCAGCAAAAAAAAATAAAATCAAAGGCATTATATATGCATTACCTTCAACAGTGGTTTCTCCATCTGTGGTGTTCCACTAGTCTCTGATCCAGAAGTTGGTTCTTGATTCTCAACATTATAAACCTTGTTCGGTGAATTTTCCCTCGCCGGAGTCTCCCCCGAGGCCTCAATTACACCATTTTCGCCATCTTTCCCAGTTTCTACTTCATTTGATTTAGCAATTACACCATGTTCGCCAGCATTGAGTCCTAAATCTTCCTTTCCAACCAGCTTCTTAACCTCACCCCCTCGTTCATCGGCTGCTTGCAAATCATTGGCACGATCCCCACTATCTTTAACATTATTGGAAGCATTTTCTTGATCAACCAAAGCTGCTGCTGCTGCTCTTTGAGCAGCAATTCTCTTGTAATGAGCTTCAAAAAAGGCCTTCTTCTGCGCCACTGATCCCGGCTGCGCATACCTTTCGGCCTCTTCAACGTAACGCTTGTGGGATGAGAAGGAGGACCATTTTTCCCAAGACAAAGATTCCGACATAAACCTCCCAAATGAAATTGACTCCCCGAGAGCGTGCATCGGGTTCCCCTGTTTGGCTTCATTGGGTATTGCAGAAGCATAAGAGAAGCCATGCATAAGACAAGCCGAGTCTCCCATTGTGTTTGCAGGTTTGCAGAATGATAAGCTCACAACACAACAACAATTGAAAATTACGTATCCCAGAAAAATCTGAACTTTGGTCTGCTGTTTTTTTTCCTTCTGATGACACGAACAGGACAGCTTTTATCTCAGCCTTAAATTTGAAATTCAAAATGAAAAAGCAGTAGGCAAAAGTTGTAAAGAGAGGCCACACATGGAGGAACTTTTACTTTTTTTTTGCGGTTTGGGATGGGTCCCACGTCTTAAATTAATCAAGAATTGTAACGTTCGACTTTTTCGAATTTTTAATGTGAATTAGGATTTGGTTAACTATATCAACTGTGTGTAACGTCGGGTTTAAATTTTAAAAAGAAATTAAAAGCGGGTTTAGCCTATGATTGTTTATAAAGCGCGTATTGCTAAAATGAATGCTGGTTGAAGTCGCTCTCGGAGGTTAAGGATGTTAAGTGCTGAACCACTTCTTGTTCCTATATCAGTTTTAACCATCATGGCCGTGTGCTGGCTGCCCATCTAGAGTTAACTTAACCCTTCAAAGAACACGTCATAGGTCCGCCCATCCAAAAAATTCGTTTAATTTTATAAATGCTAATTTGTAGAGTTGTGTTACAAGTACATGGGTTTTTTTCTTATAGGAAGGGTGGATGGTGTGTTTACAAGGATGACACAACATTGAGGGTGGGGTGGATTTTTTATTCTTATTTTTCAAACATGTGGGGCCCGCCAGTGTCTCTCACCTAGCAGGCCCCTGTGAATTGCCTCTTGTACTTGAGGCAATTCTCTAATTTGTAATGTGGTAGTTCATTCGTCCTAAAAATTTAGAGATTGTTTGGGAGGAATTTTTGGGGGAAGAATTGATTTTTGAATAATAATATGATGGGAAATGTGTGATTAAAAAAGAAAAAAAATTATTGATGTGATGAAAAATATTATTTTATTGAAAAATGTGTGGTTGAAAATGAGAATTAATTTACTGTAGAATTTGAGAATTTCTCCCAAACACCCCCTTAATTTGTAAAAAGTGAATACTTAAACTTTTGTATCAAATCCTACTAACAATTTTATGTGCGTAGACATAAAAAATAACATATATAAATTCATTTATGGAGATTAGTTCCTGTTTCATATAACTTAAATAGTAAATTAAAATTCAAGTAAAGTTAACAATTAATTTTAACCACACATTTCATGATACCACAACTTTTTAACCATATATTTCATTAACTTTCACCAAAATCTATTGGTCCATGTTTGGTCCGGATTAAAATCTGATTTTAATCCAAGTCAAAATCAAACAATCAATATTAACCACATATTTCATGGTCCCACAACTTTTCAACGACACATTTCAAAAACTTCTATCACAATCTACTAGAAATTTAATTTTAATTCCCACCAAAATAGCTAATTTGTAGCTACACCAAACATGGGCTAAAGTAAGAGAATGGGAAGAATGTACCCTTTTCTTTGAAACAACATGGCCTATGTAATAACCTCACAATTATGATTACGAGATTCACCCGCTGATTTTCTAGTATATGTACAACCAAAAAATATGTTGGAAAAATTTTCTTATATGACCATAAATGAATGGAATTGCATTAAAGAGAGAACACAAAACAAAACACAGAAACTACAAAAAGAAAATCTCATGAACATTTATTGCTTATCACGCCGTCTCACAACATGTTGAGTATCACACTGTTTTATGCTCCAGGAGAGTATTTGTTCTAACATCAGACATCACCAAAACTGGTAGTTCATCAGTAGACCAAATGAGAGAGAGAGAGAGATCCAATTTGATGGGTTCTGTAATACTACGTTATACATTTTTGACCAAATGAGTCAGCATTGATATCATCAAACTAACTTTGAGGCTAATAGTTGCACAAAGCACACGTGAATGCATTACAACAAAGTTGATAACATACAAACACGAGTACGACTCAAAATATTTTATTTTTTTTGACACTAATTGTATATAACCAGAGATCATGGTTCCAGCCCCTTTATCAGTGAGAATCTGGAGAAGTAGCGAATGCTCATTGCTCAAGAAGCCATCAATAATACTAGCTATCCGAATCCCTTGATATCAATATCCTTCAACAAGCTCTCGGGATCATCACGGTCCTCCAGTATTCCAGAATCAACTTCTCCGCACACAAAGCCACTGCAAGCTTGCCAGCTGCCATGTCTGCATTAATATCATATGGCTGCCCCTGTCATGAGCAAGTGAATACAAAATCAAATAAATATGCAAAGGCTACATTAATTGAGAAGTGTCCGGGAGAAACAATGGATCGCAACACCATTACAATTCTATGGTGACTGACCATGGATTGCCCAACTGTTAATAAACGATAACAAAAATTGGTTGGTCTGAACATCGTCTTACAATGATCATCAGCTAAAGCCAAAGGAACCAGGTTTTATGCTACCTAATGTCAGGGGGGTATTTTTATCTATAATAAATTGATGAAGAATACAGATTCAATGAACAATAAACAGAAAAGAAGAAAAAGAAAAATTATCAGCCTTTACACTGACAACTCAAACAAGGCTGAGAAACTGAAATGTTCGCCATCTCTATAGCTTCCCAATGGAGTGTAAATAATAAATATATTGCGATGGTTACAACACCGTGAAGGCAGAATAACATTAGTCAGACATTCTGAATTCATTCTTTTATAGGTCAGAGAGTGTGTATCATAATCCAAGGCATGCGTGACTTGGTGTGTGAACGTCAGAAGTGAAATTTTAACATAAATACACACGTGGAACCAAGAAAGAAGGCAAGAGAGAGATGAAATCCAAAGAGGAAAACAGATAACACCGCGGTAAGCAGCATTGCAACTGAAATTGAATACACCTGCAATAGTTATGCAAATTATGTAAGCATTTATAATTTATTGTCCACTTTGGTTACATTACTTTGCTCGTTCTCAAACCACTTATGCTAGATCAACGCTATATCCAGCAAACCAACATAGGTGTTAACGAGATTATTTGTGCTTCATTAACACCTAAGACTATTCATCAGGAATGGGCCTTTTTTTCCATTCATGGTTAAACAACTGCGACAAGCAACTCCTAATATGCTTGTTTGACAGTGTTACTCTGACATTTTTTTTTTTTTTTGTCCAAGTTCTACTGTTTGCTGACCCTATTTATTGAAAATAATGCTTTGTTGTTGTTACATCCTATTGCTTACTGGAGATGAGTCAACTTATGGGCAGTTTGGTGAATGAAAGAAATTACGGGGCAGGACCAATCAGATGTTACGGAATTCACTTCTTATTTCTTCCATTCAACTTATTCATCTGGAACTCTGAATCTCTCATCAAGAGCTCGGTGAAACTGCATTTGGCAAGAAAAAACCTCATAAAGCATTTATTCTATTACTAGCTCCATCATGATGCAGCTGCCTTGTATTGCAGGGTTTGTTCACAATAAAAATACCGCAAAAAAAAAAAAAGATGAAGAACAGATGCCTTTGGCTGTCTGGCAGTGACATGGAAGGGATCTGTGGTTTTTGACAAATATGCATAGCTGCTAAGTTTTTAGGCATTTCTTCGATTAAGTTTATTGTATTGACTTTCGGCCCCCTCACTTACCAAAATATCTCATTCAAGTCCTTGACATTTGAGCTGTATGACGACTTCAAGGTACTTTCTTATTATATTACTGCCCCCCAAAGAATTGGCCCATGATCCACCCCTTAGAAGTAACAAATCATGGCCCAAGCATAATCTAATAAATTGATGCGCACATACCATCAGATAGACTATAAATATTAAATAGTCTTTACCTTCACAATGTTGTCAGCATATTTCATGACCATTGATACTGCAATACCACTGTGTTTACATCAAATATATAGTCAACAGAAGACTCTTGTAACAAATATGAAAAGCAAACATATTTCGTAAATGCATATTGTCAAGGAAAATATCAATAAATAGATTATAGAAGAAATGAAAGGGTAAATGAACATGAATTCATTTGTAATTAACATTATAATTCAACTTAGGAGAGTTAGCATTAACATAAGAACTCTAGATAGTTCCATAATTTCCGAAATAATATATGTATATAAGTAAATAATGAACAACAATCAGCAAATTGTGCCAACAGTTGGGGCCTATGTCCAGCTAACCATCCGCAGCACATTTTCCAGTCATATAACTATGAACTAAAGCCTTTCGTGTGTACAGGTAACCAAAGGTATGGATTTAGCTCAATGCACCAAACAGCAGTAGGATAATAATTAATCCCAAGTAGCTTTCGAAGACACAAGACTATATATAGACAAGTTATAACTCAAAAGCAAGTGAGCCAGAATATGAACCATTAAAGTGAAGGGATTATCAGTAAAATGCACAAGTCTTTCCATGGAGTGGCCAAAATCATAAGGAAGCTAATTTTTTTAAACCAGAATTTTTTATTTTCATTCAAGAGAACTGGGGAAATGCTAAGATGATTTTGCAATGGCAACATGATGTAGGACAATTTCAAGAAAACTCTCATGAAGCCTCTTATAATGGATAACCAATTACTTCAGTAATATATTAAGTGCATTTTCCTGAAGGAACAGATTTACCGAATTTTTGGGGCTGTTTTGGGAGACGATGAATGGTGCCATAGAAAGGGGAAGAAAAAGAAAAAGAAAGAAGACGAGACAGATTCCCTGCTCAAGGGTTAACCAAATTCACAAAATGCAATATCATTCGAAATGTCAACTCTACTATTAGATTGAAAAAAGACATATCTATAGGCTGCAGGATTTCCTAATCTTACTAGGAAAAGAGACAACGCGAAATGACCATTTTAAGTCACAATGGACAAATACCCATAAACAACTTATGTTTAAAAAGATCAACATACCCTTGACTTTAAAACATCAAGAATCCTAAATGCTAATTACCAACAGTTAAATAGAGAACACGAGTTTCAGCCTGAGCTTAATGTAATTTTCTCCAAGTCCTGCCATGCATAAAATGGCAGATTTTTTTATTCTTTCGAGCACATGTTAAGTGATGGAATTCAAGTATTCAACCAAGTAAGAACATACAAGCAATAAATTCTTCACCATTGAGTTTTTCCTCTCTCGTCTCAACGTCAAACTTACCGTTGCAATAATTTTTAAAGAGGTTTTCATTACAATCCTAGATTTGTCTAAAGAAAGTGTCACAAATTTTCTTTTTGCCCCATAATTGATGATAATTAAATATTCTACCAGTTAGGCAAGTTGATCCAAGACCAAATTAAATGATATAAGTACCTCAGCGCATTGTTCAAAATCATGAGAACTGTCACTAATGAATATCCATGGAAAAATCCCCAACATAGCGGAAGATAAACTTAAATATCATGTAATAATTGTACAATTAATCTAGCATAAGAAACTGTAATCTTTGTTAAAAATTTGATTAAAATATTTCATTAGATATTGAATCTGCTTTCTTAAGAGCATCTCTAAAAAACTTTTTAAATATAATTTCCTCTATATTTTAAAGAGTCAATCCTTAAAATTATGTTTCAAGTGGGATCGCGATAAACAGGTGTCGTAGCCCCAGTTCGTTAGCAATCCGCCCTTCAAACTGGGATATCGAGATTCTCTTAAGAGAGAAGGTAGGCCTTCGTCATGTCACGAGTTGGACTCGAACCAGCACCTTAGGGCAATGAGTGGGAAGGAGACTCTTTAAATTAAAATTTAATTAAAGAAAAAAAATATAATAATGAGGACAGAATATAGGGAAAATAAAAGCTAGAGAAAGACAATAAATGTTTTTTAAGAGTAGTAAAAGTAAGTGTTACAATAAAAGAGCATGTTGAATTACCTACAAATTTTTACTCTCTAAATTAAATGCTCTCTAGATTTTTATATATGCCCTTTAAAAATAAAGAGTCTCTTGAAGATGCTCTAAGAAGTTACAAGGAAATGTGCCAAAAGGACTACTATGCTATTTCGTGATACAAATTAGCTACATCAACCTTAAGCTTATCTTGCTAAATGTTTTGAGGCAACAACATTGCAAAAATGATGTATTCAAAACCATAAATTATGTCCTCAAGTAAAGTGTGTGCGGGACAAAAACTGATATTCATTGGCAAAATTCTAATTTCCATTCAAAAGTAATTTTATGTGTTTTTGACTCTAGTAATGATCATACGCACAATAAGAAATTAATGAACTTGTGTATATTGAACCTCTTGTATCAGAGACATAAATAACAGAAATAGCAGAAGCAGAAAGTAGCCTCAATTTACTTGTTCATGACTGCTGATGAACTTTAAAGCTACACTGATAGAAAACAAGATTAATGCATGGCCACTACATTCTTACTTAGTGTTTAATTGTGCTGTGGTGCATCCTGCACACAACAAAATGAAAGCTGCCCATTGGATCTCGCTCAACCTGAAAGAAAACAATTGTGTTTAATTATTAATTGTCATGGAGTCTCTGCCATCCTTCCTTCACCACCTCCTCATCCACAACCCAAAAAAAAAAAAGAAAAAAAGAGAGAGAGCTAACTTGTATATATGAGTCATGACAACAAAAAAATTTCCACAGTTGTTCCAGTTAAAATCCATTCAATGGATATATTAATGATATTGAAAGTCTTTCTCTATTTGAAGTTCAAATGTAACCCGTGTATATTGCCAAATGACTTACTGTTTCTTAAGAATGATATGGTATAATACGCCCGTGCTGATAATGTTTAAATTCTTTAATATTTGATATCTTTGGGCATCTACATATGCAAAGATGTAGTACTGCAACAAACAGACATTTTGGAAAACGTTACTGCAACCGAGATTATGCTAAGGAATTTTGTAATATACGGGAATAAAAATCCTATATGACATAAATTCTTGATGAAATAAAGAGCTGCAGGAACGGGGTAAACCTTAACTTCATCTATTGTTGTACTGTTGTACTCAACCTAATAGAAGCACAAAATTGTGAGAATTTGAAACAAAGGATTGCACTCAATTAAACGTGGAACTGAGAAAACAATGAAACAGTAAATCTCGTATAAATTAGACAAGTGCGACAAAAGCAACACTCAGTGTAAAAAAAGATGTCACTGTGGACATCACTTTTCAAAATAAGGTTTCGATCCATAATATTTAACCTACACAAAATTGATAACTGTCTGTCAAAGTTATCAAGAAAATCACTGAGATCTGGAGGACGGCATTACGCATCTACAAGCACAGAAATGTATCATTTTTTATTAGGATGATGTTAATAATTATTTTTTTCAGAACTGACTATATTTTCTATTTTGATTTCAGTTCATCCTCGCTTTTTTAATGGAGGTAGTACCTTCAAGTTTTAGATTCTTCCAAATTCTCTCCCCTCTTGTGTAATTCGGGAGGTTGGTAATAAAAGGAAAAAGAAAAAAAAAATTGTCCAGAATCCTTTTTCAACTAAAGATAAACATATATGTCCAAAAATGAAAGGCATCTGTAATTCTATCTACTACCTAGTAATAGCAAAATATGTAACTAGAGGAAGGAAAAGAATGACCTGTTATCCTAGGTAACCCCTTTGTTCCTCCAGATTCTTGCCAATGCTTCGAATGATAGCGCATATTTCAAAGCTTCTACCTAATAACAAAGAAGAAAGTCGATGGTTTAAGTTAATAAAATTATTCTATGGAAGCACGAGCCTGCCAATAAAATGAAGGAACAGTGATCATTATATCTCAAATTAAAAAATGACATCTACTCACCAAAAAAGTTGCGCCCTTACATTGTACTCGTACTTTCCAGCCCTTTTCGACCGGACAATGAGAATTGCTTGTGAACTCATGAGAACGGTCAAAGCAAGTGTTACGGCAGACTTATTTTGATCATCAAGAAAAAGGCAGAAATGAGGCGAACATCCCCTCTCCCTCCAGTTTTTAGTTCTAGAAATATAATACAATTGAAAGGCATTCATTATTCATTCGCACTTCCAGACCGGACATTAGAGCTAACTCCCAACATGTACACTATTGGCTGAGCCCTTAAGAGCAATGTGAGATTGAAAAGGCGGGCCTCTGGAAAAAAAGAGAGCAAGAGAAAATCAGCAAGCATAACATGAGCGTGTGATGCAGCAATGAGAAAATTTTAAGAATGGTCACAAATATGGCACCTGCAAGGTGAAACCCTCCTAAGTTCTCGATATCCTCACAAAAGACTGTAAGACAGTAAACATCATCCTTTCCCTGACTAAACCATAACCCAACTAAAAGTAAATCTAGGGCAACTAAATTACATTTTTAGCCCAATAGAACCTCTATGTAATGATGCCACAAATCACGTTGCTATAGAGAATGAAATATAGAGAAAAATGCAATGCCCACGTATACACACATAAAGAGCTCAATTTAGTTCCTTTTTTTTCCCTTAAAACACACGAATCTACAAATTTCCAATTTTTCTGAAGACTCGTGAAGCATGACAACGAGCTAAATAATGCCATTTTAGCAGAAAATTAGAGAGGGACATGTTTAGAAAACCTCAATATTTAGGAATTTCCAGTAAGTACTGTGATTGAAACAAAATCACAATAAAATGCATCATAGATCACTGTCAAAAATTAATCTAATCTAATATTAAATAATCCACCAATTAATTTCATACATACAGTAGAAAGGAAATAAATGTACAACATGAGAGGAAAAGAGGAAAATGACGGAAAGTGCAAGAAGAACCTGACCAACTATGAGCGTCTGCAATTGAAAGAATCTTTCAGAATTTTTTTCGGCCCAATACAGAAATGCCTTAATTTGGGGGATTTTTAAAAAAAAAAATCATTATAAACATGCACTAAAACATAAATACTACAATTTCAACCATTATAATCGCAAGAAATACGGTGTAAACTGCAGCAATTTACCAACGATAATTTTGAAACCTACACGCTCCAAATCAAGCAAAATCGAAATCATAGAAGAAATTCTTGCACAAATCAAACCCAAGACTGCTTCAATTACCTTTTAATCGAAGTTTTCTTCCCAAATCTGCAGGTTTGTAAATGGTTTGACTTTTGGTTCAATTAGTTCATATTTTGTTTAATTTTTAAGTAACAAATTATATACATTTCATGATTATTTCAGTTTAATAAAAAAAAAGGCAATTATAGACTCATTTTTAATGATGCCATTATTTAACTATTAGAATCATGAACACAAATTTCATTTTTTTTTTTTTTTGTTATAGTACATGTGAATTTTCATATTCATATTAATGTATATATTAAAATTCATATTTATACGATGCATGTAAAATATATGTGAAAATGTAAATACAAATATGAAAATGAGAAAATTGACTTGCCCAGTCACTTATTTTTAAGGAAGTTGCACTTTATCTCATTTCAATTCTTTTGGATCAATTAAAGACATGCATACACATATATTTGTGAAAATTTAAATATGAATACGAATTTAACTTTGCTTCAAATTAAAAAGTGAGATAATGTAACACTGTATTTGTCTTTTGTATATAAATTAATGTGGTAAAATTTAAAAGCGACGCACTCTATCACTTTTTTTTTAAAGTCTCACTCTATTTCATTTGTATTTTTTTGTAGATATATATATAATTAAAGTCTTCATCAGTTATGAAGATAAATGAAAACAAAATTAAGAATATAAAGGTGACAAAATGTACGTACAACAACCTTTGTTAAAATGTATATGTCACTTTTTTGTTCATGTTGATTTTTTAAAAAGCCAAGTTTTAACAATGTTAAAAAAGACTAAGGTATCTTGTTGTCGTTAATATGTAAGTTTAAAATAATTGATATATCTTTATATTTACGCATAAGCTAAACTAATCAGCAATTTTATGAAGTTCAAAGAGTATATCACTTTTTTAAAGGAGTTAATGTATATAACTGCTAAAAGGTATCATGAAAAAGTGACATATCATAACATTTAAATCAATATTCATGTGGTATAATTAACTCTCAATCCTGTAAAAAGATAAAAGAAAGTCTATTAAACTAAAAGTGAAATAATTCAAAAAAGTGAAAAAAAAATGACAATCAATTTGTGGCTTTTTGGGACTTTCTGGATTTTTGGGTGTTTTGGACGTAATTAATACAAAAATAATAATTCTTATCAGTTTTAAGGGTATTAATCTAATATATTATTTTTGGGGGTAATGGACGTAATTTTCCCTCAAATTAATGGAAGCACGTGGTTTCAAGTTGACACCAAATAAAAAAGATTTCGACTATAGATTTCCGTGCAATAGCTCCGGACGAGAGGGTACTTGTAATATTTAGACATGAGACATAGCGGATGTTAAATACTATTGGATGTGTCACTTTTTATTGACAGTTCGAAGCGCATCATGCTATGACAGAATAACAAAATCTTCTGCTTTTTAGCTGATAGATTATTTTTGGTTAAACTCTTTACAACTTATCAATGGATATAATCATTTTGGTATGAATAGATTATCAATCATGCTACATGTATGTTAACTTTTATATTAAATTTGACATTCTTTGACATAGAATTCATCATATTAATTGATTTTTAAAACACTCTTTCACATCATTGACAAGATTTTTGACATATGGGGGGATGTCTACAAAAATGTATTAGTAGTTTAATTGATAGTTTACTTGTTTGGGCATGAATGTTCTTATTTAGACATCTTTTTTAGGCTACTAGATTTATGTGGGCCAATTTCAGTTGTCTAGCCCATTTAAAAAGGGTAGTTTTAGCTGGACCTATTTCAATTTAAACTGTTATGCACCGTTACTGCGCCTTACACCTCGAAGGTGCCTTCACCGTCACGCAGCTGACGTTGAAGTAAGTGAACATGCAGGGCCGGCCCTGAGGCGAGGGGAGTGAGGCCGCCGCCTCAGGCCCAAGCTTGGAGGGGGCCTAATTTTTGGCCCAAATTTTTTTTTTTTTTTTTTATATGACAAGCCCAAATCTGGAGGCCCAAATCTCTAACCTAAGGCCCTAAACTCCTACAGTCCTACACACCGAATCATTCTCGTCTCGACCACTCTCTCCTTCCCGCTCTCAAATCTCCGAAAATAGTGGATGAAAGTAACTCGAATCCACCTACCACCAATCAACCGCTCTTCAAGTCGACGCCGGAGTGGTGTACTGGTGTTTACCGAAGTCCAGAGTCTCTAGACGTCCAGTGTATTCGGTTTACAGCTTTCCCGAAATCTAATCAGCTTCTGCTCTTCTGGAGTTCTGCAGCTTCTGGAGTTCTGTCTTCACTCTTCTGGAGTTCTGCAGCTTCTGCTGGAGCTGGACCAGCTGGTAAGTGGTAAGTGGGCGATTTGAGTTTTGGGGATTTCCTGATTTTTCTAATTTCAGTTTTGATTTTTCTGCTCGTAGTCGTATACTCGTATGAATCTATTTGTACAGGTTAAGTTTAGATAAATGATTATAACTTGATTTGGTCAATGAGTTGGTGATGCCATAATGGTTGTAATTTGTAAACCTTGATTTGTAACTTCAACATCAAAGGATGATTTATGATTTTCATTGCGGTTTCTTGAGTTCAGAGGCTCTGTCTAGGGTTTTTATATGGATTTCTTGAGTTCAGAGTCTCTGTCTAGGGTTTTGGCTGATATTGTGGTTTAGGATTTTTGCTGCAACTTTGTGATGAATTAATCTTCGAGATGTGATTCTTTGATGGATCAATGATGAGAGAGATTGATTTCAGAGAAATGGATAGTGGACAATTTGGGGATTTTGACGATTGTCAAAATTATGTGAAGGGCATGTTTGGTGGAGTGAATTAAGTTGGCATTTTAATACTATTAGAAATTGTGTTGTTTTTCATTTCGTTTTTTACTTATATTTTTGTAGTAATTATGGAATAAAAAAAAACAAGTAAAAGTATTTTTAGAATATGTTTACAATTTTAGGTAGGTGGTGCAATTCCCACTTAATTTAAATGTTGATATTCTCCGTCAGACTTATTTTGCTTTGTAAAAGCTTTACTGTTCTGAATGATTTGAACATGATTCAATTTCAGGCTTGTGAGAACTGAGATGCAACGCTGGATGCTGGAATAGGCGTGATTCCACAATTTTCGTGAATTTTCTACTTCTCAAGTAAGCAATGGCTTGCTCTAACTTGATATTGAAATTGTTTGAAGCCTTGTCGGCTTATATAATTGTGGCCTGGTCGGCTTGTATGAATGTTCATTGTAGCATGTAGGATCAATTGCACAGACGCACGTAGTCACTATATTGAATATTTTAATTGTGAGATGATTGTGATATTTGTTTGTTGTTTTACGCGTCAGTATTAAGTTTGCAATACGTTGTATAATGCACGATTGGATTTTGCTTTTACGTTGATCTCCGGGGGCCAGAGACGGAGCTAGGGGGCCGCCGTTGATCTCCGTTGTCTCTTAGTTTAAAAAAAATTTAAGAGGGGGCCCACCCCCTCCACCCCCCGAACTAAATTCCTAGCTACGTCCCTGCAGGGGGCCCAAATTCCGGAGTCCGCCTCAGGCCCCGCCAATCACAGAACCGGCACTGTGAACATGTCCAAGGTTGGGCCCACCGACGGCTGCTACAAAATTACGAATGTAAAAAATACATGAAATACATTTCTGATGTCAATAACATTAGGGAATCATCGACTCCCCTCGTAATGGACCGTTCCTGTATAACGGCCACCAGATTTTTGAAAGTTCTGTTAGATCAAGAAACAATGGTCTTAATAAAAACAATATCCAATGTGAACTTCTTCTAAACTATATGCCGTTTATGTGAAAATTGTATAATAGATGGAAAAAATTATGTTTACTTTCGATGGTACTGATGCAATTCATCAATAAAAAATTAGATTGAAATGTTGCTCGTTCAACGCTAAATGTTCATCTTAAGGAATTTGTAGAAAAAATCCTTACTAATTTTTACCTAATCGATCAAATGTTTATATTGAATTGGCGTAGCTATTCTTTATAACTCAAGAACGTAATTTCAACTAGTATAGAAAATATGCGGAGAAAGCTTTCAATTTTGAATGGCTTCTATAACTACATATACAACTTTCTTGACTTTTCGAAAAGTCTGTTCCCACCAATCTCACAGCTTGACTGGCCTGCTACGATGGTGGGATTTCTCCCATTTCCTGTTCTAACCAACAATATAGTTAATTCTACATAGTACTAATGTTCACTAAATTTTTTTTTTTTTAGAAATACGAGAGGATGAGTGCCTATAACCCGTATAACATGGTTAGGTTTTCTGGTAGAACATCGAAAGATGGTCTAACATTGCTATTAAATACCATTAGCATGGTGCACTTTTTCTTTTTCTTTTTCTTTTTTTTTTTGAATCAGTAAATGTAAATTCTATTGATCAAAAATTCTTGTACAAGTGTACCGGGTATACCGGGGCAAAACAAAGATCAAATGATATATAAATGACAAAGATATATCAACTCAAAATTAGAGACTCAAAATGAACCAAAACATTAAGATACAAAGAGAACATGACTTTGTATACATGTATTTTAATCTGTCTAACGATGCTATCAATACATGGTTTGAGATCCTCAAACTTCGTTCTATTCCGCGTCATCCAAATTTGGTAGACCGTGCAAGCAAGAGCCTTTTTCTTGGCTTTAGATTGCCAAGATATGCCTCGGGCTTCTTTCTTCATCCACTTCAATGTACTAAGTATTGTTGTCATTGAACTCCTCATTTCCAACCAACATTTGATCTATCCCCAGATGCTTGAAGCCCAAACACATTGAAAAGGTAAGTGCTTACCCGTTTCAAAGTGTGAACCACAAAAGACCCACATCCTATCAATGTTTAGATGTACCAACTTATCATTCACAAGAAGCTTAGACTACGCAACCAACCACAGCATGAAGAAGAGTTTTGGAGTGATGTAAGGTCTCCAAATCTCCTTCGTCTATGCCCTTATCTCCCCATTCAGCCTAAAAAACTGATATGCACTATCCATACAAAAATGGCCAGAAGCTATCCATTTGGACAGCCTATGAACTGCAGCTTGGTCGGTGAGTTCTGGCCCTCTAAGCTGATTTCGAATGTCCAACAGTTTCTTGTTTAAAGGAGAGTGATCTTTCTTTGCCACACACTTCCAAATACTAGCCCCATTGAGGTAAATTTGATTAATCCATATTGTGTCTTTCTTGCTATGGATATTACAAAGGGACTTTGAAAGAAGTGTTAAATTCCAGCATTTTATGTCTCTAAATCAAAATCCACCCTCATGTTTTGGCAGGCAAACCTTACTCCAAGAAACCAACGGTTTATTAGTACCCTAAAGGAAGTTTCGGCATAAAACTAGTGATCTTTGAAGCAACAACGGTTGGGATAGGAAATATGGAAAGCCAAAAACATTGCACTCCTTGAAGAATGGTTCTTATAAGTTTCGCTCTACCCACATAGGATATAGATGCCTTAGACTAACCACAAATGTAAGGGTGATTTTGTTGAGAAAAGAGTCATAAGAGCTAATTTTCAACTTCTTCGAGACAATTGGGATCCCCAAGTACCGAAATGGCATGGATCCCTTGGACATATTAGTTAATTCATAGATCTCCTCAAGCTCTTGCCCATGAACCCCAGCCGTATACATGCTAGACTTGTTAACATTCATCTTTCCCGACATGTTTCCAAACTTAGACAAACAATCCATCAAGATACCAACCGAAATTAGATATCCTCTAGCAAAGAGCATCAAATCATCTGCAAATGCCAAGTGTGTAATCTTTAAAAGGCCACATTTAGGGTGATAGTTGAACTCACTATTCTCCATAGCTTTCTTCAACATTCTTGAGAAATACATAACATTCTTGAAAAATACTCAAGGCAAATGACAGATAGAAATGGCGTGAGAGGATCACATTGACAAAGACCCTTTTTCCCTTTAAAGAATCCATGGAGGCCACCATTAAGCACACTAGAATATGAAGGAGTAAAAATACATTCTATCACCAAACCGACGAACTTCATAGGAAGCCAAGACCATGAAGCACACTATTGAGAAAGTTTCAATTGATCGAGTCATACACCTTCTTAAGATCAATTTTTAGAAGGCATCTAGGAGCTACCATCTTACGATTGTATTGCCTCAAAAGCTCTTTAGTAAGATGGATATTCTCCATCATACTCCTTTGTTCCACAAATGCACCTTGAACTTAATCTACAATTAACCCAAGGATAGGCCCCAACCGAGATGCAAGGATTTTAGTGATTACTTTGTAGAACACATTACAACATGCGATCGGTCTGATAGAATTCTGGTAGTAGAGTCCTTTTAGGATGAAGTGATATACAAACAATAGGACTCTCCTTCTCTTAGGTTTGGATAAGCCTTGATAAGAGAGAGAGAGAGAGTCAAGGGCTGCCTTGAATGAGGTTTTAGTCGTACCTTCTAGGAAGATGATCAGAGAGATGCCGAATAACGAGGAGGTAAGCCCGAGGAGGTCACGTGGCATTTGGGGCAAAGTAAGAAGCTCATGCTCGAGCATGGTGCTCAAGCTACAACCAGGATTGGTATCATCAATGTGTATTATTATTTTATTAAAGAATATGTGGTTAAAAATAAATTTTGAAAGAACGTACGTGATCAATCAAGGGCTGAATGTTACAAAAATAAATTTTGAGAATAATGGGCTCAAACGAGAGCATAGTTTTCTAATTCAAAGGGTACCAAAAGGAGCCGACAATAGCGGATAGACGAAAATACAGGTGTGCTTCAACGGTTCAACCCGTCCCTTTCTTCACTTCATTATCCTATAACACCAATTCAGCCTTCTCAATCTTTCTCCTTGGAATTCCATTACAGTATAGAATTCAAACAAACTTAAATTCATCACCTGAACAAATTTTACTCGCTGAAAAGACATATACAAATCATACTATAGTATACTCCTGGAATTATATATAGTAGTATCATTCAAGAAGGGTTAATGAATGAAAATAAAGCAGAACCTAGTTTTTGGAATTTGGGTCTGGGTGGTTATTTGTTTGGATTGTGGGAATGAAAGATCGTAAAAAACGGAGTAGTTTTGTGCCGTGGGGCTCTTTTTTCCGGTGTACCCTTCTTCTTCTCTTCTTCTCCGGCTTCACTTTATCCACTCTCCGGTTGCTCTTCAGAGGTAATATCTTGTGCTAAAATCTTGGAGAAATACTTTTTGGGTAGTTTAATCAAAATTTCTTTTTCTGAGTTTGCTTTAAATTTATTGCAATTTATGATTATTTGTTTTTTGGATCGAAGCAGAAAGGTTTCATCCAAGATTGGTGTCGACATGGAGGATGCCGCCGATGAAAGTGGTCGCCGGCGAGTCACCTTCAACTGCGGCTATCTCAATTCAAGAAACCGTTATTTTTCCAGACCAGGCTTTGGTTTACCTAAAGTACCCTTCATCCACTCTCTTATTCACCAAAGATGACATAGACTGTATATATTTGCTACCCAACTCATCTAAGCCCCAACTCAAGCTCTCTCCAGTATCATTGGACGGTCAATATTCCGATCACCAGACTGTACGGTGCCCGCGTCAGCCACGTGGCACGATAGTGTCTCTAGCGCTTAAATCCAACGGTAACCTCCTGCCTGCGCCCACCACACTTAGGTGGGATTCATTGGCTTATGAAGCTATAATTGATCGTGATAACACCACTGTTGTTTTTGTTAAAGGGCTTAGTTTACGGTCAGGAAGAGTTTCTGATCCATCTAAATTCAAGTGCTTGTACGGCTGGGATTTGAGGAAACCAAAATCTGTTTTGTGGTCCGAGGTTGTATCGGTTGCTCAAGAAATTGTAAGATGCAAAACCCCTTTGAGCATATTGAATAGTCCACAAAGATTTAATACTAGTATTAAGGTTTCAATTAGGATGATTGGTAGACAGACTCTCAAGTCTATTGCTAGGCCGAAAGTTCGATTGTCCGACCCTAGACCATCGTCCAAGAAACAGCACGAGATGTGCATATGTACAATGTTGAGGAATCAAGCTAGGTTTTTGCCTGAATGGCTCGTGTATCATTCCCGAATAGGGGTTCAACGTTGGTTTCTATATGATAACAATAGTGACGATGATATTGAAGATGTGGTCGAGTTATTAGTGGGTGCAAACTATAATGTTACTCGACATGTGTGGCCTTGGATCAAGACTCAAGAGGCAGGGTTTGCGCATTGTGCACTCCGTGCTAGGGATTCGTGTGAGTGGGTTGGATTCATTGACGTTGATGAGTTCTTTCACTTGCCTTCGGGGTTGTCAATGTATGATGTTGTTAGGAATCAATCTAGGCCTAGTGAGGTAGCTGAATTACGTGTGTCGTGCCACAGTTTTGGCCCCTCAGGTCTTAAAAATGTTCCCGTGAAAGGCGTGACGGTAGGGTACACTTGCCGGTTGGCTGGTTGGGAGAGGCACAAGAGTATAATGAGGCCTGAGGCACTGAATCCTTCATTGATCAATGTGGTGCACCACTTTCACTTGCAGGCTGGGTTTCGGTACGCTAATATGGATCAAAATGTGCTGGTGATAAATCACTATAAGTACCAAGTATGGGAAGTGTTCAAGGAGAAATTCTATAGGAGGGTGGCTACCTATGTGTCCGATTGGCAGCAAGAACGAAATGTTGGTTCCAAGGATCGAACACCAGGTTTAGGTACAAAAGCTGTTGAACCAGCCGATTGGTCGACCAGATTTTGCGAGGTTGAAGACACGGGCTTAAGGGATCGTGTATTGAAGATGTTCACTAACCCGAAAACAGGTCGATTGCCATGGGAGCACCCAATGAGCACAAGTGATAGAAGAGTGCTGCTGTGAATTTGGAGGAGTCGGTCTTCTTTTTCTATGTTTCTTTAAAAAATTTCTCTTTTTTGTGTTGTGTACTTCCACTACCCATATACTGCTAGCTGCATAGACAGAAAACTATTACATATTCATTGTTTGTACATATATTTGACTGGACAATCCAGAAAGAAATGAAAATTTTAAAGCAGCATTTAGATGTTGATTTGAAGAAATCAGTCTCTCGAGCAATTTCTGTACTTTCGTGATCGATCAGACATTCGACCCTAAGCACCTTGTACTTATTCTCGATAGTTCTGTACAACTTCTTCAAACTGTCACAAAGTTTAAAAGTCCACATTACTTGTACAATTATCATCGTATTTGTTAATCAATGGCAAAACTTGAAAATGCCATCCACTTGAGTTTGTTCTTCATTTCGAGATGGGGGGAATTATTCTGGTCTTAAGCGAAGTTGTCCTGCTCGATCATAAAAGAAAGAAAAATGAAAATACTAAGTTACAGAGATGCAAATTTTTTGGTAATTCAAATGAATTTAGTGGAAATTTCTTCACGTTGATACCTATTATTCAAATCATTTTTGTGACTTGTGTGCTTAAAATTGGTCTGATGGTATCTATCACGTTTTTTGTTCTTAAGCTGTCGCGTCAGGTACTACATGTGACGTGATAGCACCCGACTCATTGGGGAGATCCGGATCATTGTAGCCGGTTGTAGTTGTTTCTTGTGAAGTGATTTTATTTATGTTGTACTTAAACCAATTGAACGAAAAGTCCCAAGAAAGTCATGACGTACAACTCTAATTGGGGAAGTCTTGTTTCTAACTTCTGTTTATAAACTACCCATTCTACGATCATGTTACACGTACATTCTCCTTTACATTAAGTTTGACACTCTTTTTTATAACATACACCATAACTATTGATTTTTACAACATTATTGCATCACCGTCCAAATTTTGACACACGGGAGGAAATGTCAAGCAGAATGTAAATAACAATGTACACATAACTTAATCATCTATTAAGAATCCATTTGACGTGTGACTTTTGTTTTTATTTTTACTTCCTATAGAAGAGCTTTTAAAAGAAATCATGTTAATTTTCACTTGAAAACTAATTTTTTAAAGAACTTTCTATTTCGAAAGTGCTTTTAAAGAATGTCACATTGAATTAGCTTTCTCTAAAAACTCTGCTAATTAAAAGAAATATTTTCATAAGATTAATCAAATGAGTCCAAAAGCAACTTTTGAGTCTCAAAAGCTCATTTTAACTTTTCAAAACTCATGTCAAACGATCCCTAATGATTATTGCTTAAAGATGAAAGAAAGGTATAAAGAAAAACTTAGGAAATAAACGAACCCGTTGTGCTATATATATCACAACTTACATATTTGTTTACCAATAAATAATATGATGAGATATGACTGAGTCGAAATTTTACCAACCAACTAAAAAACATAGAAGTCCCTCACATTCTTTTTACAACCTCATCAATCTGTAAAAGAAAATGTAACTTATTGTTCTTTTTCAAAATACTTTTGGAATGGATGCGAGTCGAGGATGGCGTTTAGAATATCTGTTGTCTAATATCGAGCACTACAATATATCTTGGTTTAACTTAGATGCACGAAGTAAATTTAAGGTATAATTCATGATTCTCAGACATCATGATAATAAATTATGTATGATCAAGAAACAGATTACACAAATGAAATCAAGTTCAAGATTTATGTAAATAGATACTGGCAAAATGGAAATCTTAATTTCAACGTCATCATTCTAAGAACTAACAATGAAAAAAGGCCAATAGCACTGAACAAATTTCCTCCATGTAGAAGTGCATTCATACCATAAAACCTCTTCTGTTTCCCACCAATTCTATATTTACAGTCCTCGTTTCTATATCAGAGTTCGACCGATCCATTCCCACACAGCAGGGTCCTTCACCCTGCACGAATTGATGGGCCGAATATCGGGAAGCATAAGAAGGTGAGAATTTTAGAAGTGTCAAAATCAACCTCCATTCATAGTTTTTGACCAGATGATGTGTTGGCTTTGAATTTGCTAGGGACGAGCACTGGTTCGTTGCTAGCAGCTTTCATTGCAGCAATTTCTTCCAAGCGCCTCCATGTTGCTTCACGCTTAGTCTCCATTTCTTTTTCTCTTGCTTCATCTTCTTGGAACTTGAGCAAACACTCCTCAAAGAGCTCAGGATCGACATCAGAGAAGATTTTCCGGACATTTAGCGTCAAGCTTCGCACGGCCTGGTTCCAGTGGTTTGTCACGTTCTTCTCCAAGGAAGGAAAGATAATTGGCAGTATAACTTTACGGTTTTGTTTGATAAGGTTCTCGATATGATCGTTGTTCCATAAAAACAACGCCCTCTCTGCCACCTGTAGAAACAAGAGTTAGATAACTCGTGGAAGAGATTTCATACTTCAAACAGTAAAAATGAAATGAATGGATTAGAAAAGTCAACCTCAATCAACCAATGTCAGATTTAGAAAGGAAAGGAGGATGCGAAGAGGGAAAACGATATATAACGATTTTAATCCAACGGACAAATATTTCCAAGTCCTCAATATGCCACTTGAATAACATGAGACTAGGCAAGCTATCAAGGATATTAATCCTATGGACTCGTGCGCACATTAAAGTGGAATGGCGAAGGATGCCAACGAATTAATCCTACAAATGCTTGAAAGGACATCAAGGTTCAGCATTAAATCTTACACCACATGCCCGTAGAGTGATGAAACTACAGAAAATAACTTAGGATACTAAAAATAATAAATGTGGTATGTTATAAACTTCATATTATGACGGTGAAATTATATTTTAGCCAAAGAAGAATTCGATTAACTGCAGAAAGGTGATGGAGACAAAATACAGAAGTTCCAAAGTTGCAGCGGGATAAAATGATTATATTTTATTTTTTTCCCTCACACTAAAGGTACAGGCTTTATAGAAAGTAGAATAAAGACAACTCCAATAACTTGTTAAAGGAGATTAAGCAAATTTCTAAGGCACTGCAAGAACTTTGGACAGACAAAGTGAGGGAGTGTACTGTTGAAGACAAAATTCAAACTAGCTTGCACGTGAGGAATGTCTTAAATTAATTTCTCCTCTCACTAGCAGCTTAAGCTTCTAGACAAGGTAGTTTCATGTGTATTCATTACATTATTTCAATTTACTATGTTTAGCTAAAAAATTTATTGGAATTAACACATTATATTATTTAAATTTAATATGTTTAGCTAACAAATTATATTGGTATTAACATATTATCATTCCTTTTGCTTCGAACTGAGATCAAGAGATTATTCTTTTCAGCAGTGACAATTACTAGATTATTCGAGTAAGAGGAAGGATTTAGCCCTTGTTTAGGCTCCATTTTAATGGAAATTTGGGGACATATTATCTTTCCTTTTGCTTCGAAATGAGATCAAGGGATTATTCTTTTCAGCAGTGACAATTACTGGATAATTCGAATTCGAGTAAAAGGAAGGATTTAGCCCTTGTTTGGGCTCAATTTTAATGGAAATATGGGGAAAAATGAGTTTTGAAATAGTGATTTTTTGAGAATGTGTGGTTAAAAAATAAGAAAAAGTTTTCGATTTACATGTAATATTATTTAATGAGAGAATACGTGATTGAAAATGAATTTTGAAAAAATGAGTTTTTTAAAAAAAGGGGGCCAAACATAGGCTTATAAATCTTTAGTGGTCCTAATTTATGGCTATTCCTTGTATAGGGAAATATGAATCTAAGGGACTATTCTTTATGGCAGCCAAAATAATGGATATTCCAATTCTCCATAAAGGAAGATTGAAGAATTTTAACAATCTTTTTAATGGGGGGTATTTTCAGCTATTCCTTGAAAAGTAATATATATA